GAGGTGACAGTTTTGTAAGACGAAAAGTGTTCTGGGGACCCATTTTTGACATTTTGTTGTTGTTGTTGTTGTTGTTACCAGGGATCAAACTCTTGACTTCACACTTGCCAGGCAGGTGTTTATGCTGCTGCACTAAATCTCCAGCCCTTGGAGACCTATTTATTTATTTATTTATTTATTTATTTATTATCGGTACCAGCGATCGAACTCACGACCTCACGCTTGCAAGGCAGGTGCTTATGCTGCTGAGCTAAATCCCTAGGCCGGAGACCCATTTTTAAACAACATGCACTGTACCCTTAAACATGAGTAAGGTGGTAAATTTTTCCTTTTTTCCCCCCTGTGGTACAGAGATCAAACCTAGGGCTTGATAGATGCTAGGCAAGTGCTCTACCACTGGGCAACACCTCCCCAGCCCCAGGATGGCATGTTTCATGTTATATATATTTCACAAGAAAAAAATTGAACTGCAAAGGAAAAAGTTAAAATAAGCAAGCATTGGATTAAGAAGAAAAAAGCAAAGAGGTCCAAGTCAGAGCCCTGGGGCACGGCACCAGCAGGAGATCTGGGCCGAGGGCTGGGAGAGACCCAGCTAAGAGCAGGCTGGGGACAGGAGCAGGATGGAAGGAGGCCCTGGGAGAGGGCAGTGTCTGCAGCCTACGAAGACAGCAGGTGTGGCCCTGGCAGGGCAGAAAGAGGAGCCTTGGACAGAAGCTGTGGAGGGTGCTGGGGCCTTGGAAGCCGGAACGAGTCGCGCAGGGTCCAGGGAAGCCCAGCAGGAGTGTAGCTCACGTTGGGCAGCTCTGACCTTGGGAAGCTGAGGGCTGGGTCAGGGAGGACTTTTGTGTCCTGAGAGAGCTGAAGTGAGAGTTCATTTGTGTGTGGACAGGAAAGGAGAAATGGTCAGCAAGAGGTACGTGAGGAGGGGGACACTGCTGGGGGACATCCTGGGATAGGCAGGGGGTGTGGTCTAGTGCACAAACACAGTACAGTCTGACATGAAAGCTGCAAGCAGAGGGTTCCAGAAAGCATAAACTGCCTGGCCAGATTCTTCACGACTCTTCCGCATTTTCCTCATACTAAAGATCCTCATCTTTTCCCTGCACAGCTGCTGACCATGATGCCTCGACTTCTGCTCTGGTACCTCATTCACCAGGAAGTTCCCTCCTCACTGTGGGGCCCTGCAGAGGCACTGTGGGGTGCCTCTTTACCTTTGCTGGGCCTGGTGGATTTCCCTCTGTCCTTGAGCTAAATCGTCATCCTCCTCCTCAGCTCAGGTCCTGACAGCTTGCTATGTGCCTGCCTTACTCAAGCTGCACTGGGTCATTTAATGACTGAAGTTTAATTTTGCAAAGCAGCAAGTGGAGGATTAGAGCAATTTGTGTGAGTCACAGAGACAGAAAGTGATTCATGGGGAGCTCTGTGTGACCTCGGCCCTGTTGCCGCCGCTGCTGCGGCTGCTGCTGCTGCTGCAGGCATCCTGTCCCCTGATGCTCACAGCTTGCCAAGGAGCGAGGCTCAGTGTGCAGACAGATCCACAGAAGAACACTTGCCTGGGAAGAAGCATCCACACATGGACTTATTCCATGTCCTAGCTGAACCTCTGCTTTAAAGCAGGGAAGGAGTGAGAATTTCATAGCAGGCCAGCTGGGATCTGATGCCTCAAGGTCCTGCTCTATGCAGGTCGTGGACTAGGCTGGAGACCTAGGAGCACCTTGTGTGGGTCTGGCCTGGCGTTGGCTCCAGACTTCCCAAGATGAAGGAGGACCACCAGAGAAAGGCTCTGCACAAAAGAGAGAGGGAAGAAAGCAAGGAGAGAGGGCAGAGAAAAAATGTAGAGGAGGCAGAGAGAACTAAAAAGGGAACGAGAAAAAGAGACCGATACAACTATGAAAAGTAGTAAAATGGGTCGGGGAAGGGAAGGGAGGATGTGGTTTGCGTGTGTCCCCCAAACTGCCTGAATTGCAAACATGATCCCCAAATGGGGTGTTAATTGGGCTCTGTGGGCTCTGGGAGGTAAATAGGTTAGATGAAGTCAGGAGCAAGGAGCTCACCACAGGATTAGAGGCTCTGTAAGCAGAGAGACCTGAGCTAGCACCCTCGCTCTGCTGTGTCACACGATGTCCTCTGCTGTGTTATGACAGCAAGAGCCCTCATCACATCCTGAGAAGAGGATGCTAGCAGCATGCACTTGGGCTTCCCCGCTCCAAAACCCCATGTGCTAAATAAATCTCTATTTTTAATAAATCGCCCAGTCACTTTCCTTGTCACCAAGACACAATACCTGACACCTGACACTTGCAGAAGAGAGGGTTATTTTGGCTCAGTTGCAGGGGGTTCCGTTCATGATTGACTGGTTTAAACACAGAAATGGCATGGTGGAAGAACTCCTCTTGGAAGAGAGTTGTTCATGTCAGGGCTACCAGAAAACAGAGAGAGGAAAGAGGAGCCAGGAGTGGAATACACCCTTCCAGGTCACAGCCCAGCAACCTACTTCCTGTGTCTAGGCCCCATCTCCTACCAGCATGTCTGTTGCTGACCTGGCCAGTGGGTGAATCTACTGATAGGTGCGATATCCCCACAATCCAACCGTCTTCTAAGACCTCCACCTCTGAGTGAATGAGACACTTAGAGGACATTCTAAGCCTAAAACATGACACCCAGTCTGTGGTGCTCAGTAACAGCAACAGAAAATGGACAGTGGGGGAGAAGGATGGACCTTGGAGCATATCCAGCTGGGGGGTGCTTAGGGGAACAGCACTCACCCAGCATGTGGGAGGCCTGGGGTTCCATGCTCAACACTATGAAAACAAAACAAAAGAATAGCCCAAAATTCAGTGGAGGAAGAGGAAATTCAATTCCCTGGGCCATTTGAGAGTGTGCCACAGGCGGGACGGATTTTGATTTGTAAACTGGAAAGATGCTGAAGCAATGCCATTATCTCCTCAAAAGAAGGGGACACCATGGCTTTCCTCGGAAGCAGAAAGGGAGCCTCTTCTGTGCTACGGCCTCTGGCACACTGTGCACAGTCTGTGAGGGGAGCAGAGAGATGTGGGTGCAGCCTGCAAACAGACACTAGCCTAGGACCGATGTCCTTCTGTCTCCCAGCAGGTCTGCAGCGAGTGCTCAGCCCGTGTCAGCCCAGTTACCTGAAACCACATAGTAGGACACATGCTTTATGGGGGCTGCTATTTCTCCCTGGCACCCAACCCCAACAGCAACTTTTCTTTTGATAAAGTATTCGAAGAACAAAGGCTCGTTCTTCGGGTGCTCTCTGGGAGCAGCTTGTGGCCACATTGTAGGGGAAGGGACAGCGCAAAAGGAGGCTGTGCCAGAAAAGCTCAGCTCAGCTCAGCTCAGCTCAGCTCACCTCAGCTCAGCTCCTAAAGGAGCTGTTTCAAAGGCCTCCAGGCAGCCTAACCCAAGCAGAAGACTGGAGCTCAGCTGATGCCCTCTCTTGTTCTGGTCCAGGGAGTCCAGGATCCTGGTGGGACTTCCTGGAACAGGAAACCTCCTGAATCCTCCTCAGGACTCTACCCTGAAGTGTCAGGGCTTGTTGGAGATAGGTAGCACTCCACGCTTGGTCTGTGGCTCTAGGTAGGGGCAGGAGTGAGGACATCCTAGGCCAGAGCCACTGCCTTCTGTACACAGGCCTGAGTCCTTAGGGGAAGCCCATGGTTATAAAAGCAAGCTTGGCATGTGTTTAAAGCACTGAAATAACTTTGCCCATCCATGCCAGCAGCTTATTAGCTCAAGCCGGATAGTTCAGTGCAGACAGACAGCCTTGCACCCTGGGCAGGGGTGCCCCATGTCCTGCTGCCAGCCAGGAAGAGAGGCCTGCAGACTGGTTGGGCTTGGCAGTGGCTCCTCGGCCAGCCCAGGAGACCAAGCAGGCTGTCATTCATCAGGACAGCGGGCACCTTGGCCCTGAAATGGCTCCAGTTTTCACACCCATAGGAAAGCACAAGAAATAGAGTGAGCCAGAGCCCTGGCTGGAAATTGTGATCCTGTTTCCTTAGACACAAAACACGGGCTTTATTCAGAGCTAGAGTGTCACTGCACCTGGGAAGTCTCGCATTCGAAACATCCCTGCTGGGAACTGTTCCCCACCCCGCAGCAATGAACTCAGAAGATTTCTCCGGGAAGATTTGACTTTGAATCCTTTTTGCCTAATACCAGCGTGGCCTTAGGCAGGCCAGTTGGCCCAACTCTCTTTGGAACTTGTTATGATTTAATGAGTGTCCTTAAAAATAAGGATGAAGTTCAAAATTAGTGAGGGTCATGGCCAGGAACCTCTAAAAATCTTACAGATCAGGTCTAGCTACCAAGGACTATTTTAGGACTCTAGATCCCCATGACAAAAGTGGTGCAGGCATCCTCAGGGCTGATGGAGAGCAGGCCTGGGATAGAGGAGGGGAGGGCATCCATGTTCACCAGAGCAGCACTCATGGCAAGGGACCAGGTAGGCCTGGTCAGCAAACCTTGCCACGCCGGCCTCCGGAGCTTGCTGGGGAGACAGCAGACTTGAGCATCCTGGGCCTGCCCCACAGCACCCACTCTGAGGTCTGGCCTCGGGCTCTTCCCGGGGCACCCAGTTGGGCTGGCTATTCCACCCATCCATCGCCTGTCACCTGGATGGCGCCGTTAGGACTTCTAAAATGGGGCGAACCTGCTGAAATGCCAGGAGCCTCCATGCAGGCAGAGTTCAGGCAGGTACAAAAGTCAGGCCAGATGCCTCTGTGAAGCAGCAGGGGCCCGACCCTCGGGGTCCCCAGTTCATCTGACCCTCGGGGTCCCCAGTTCATCTGACCCTCGGGGTCCCCAGTTCATCTGACCCTCGGGGTCCCCAGTTCATCTAGTCCTGCTGAAGAACACCCAGAAGTGCTCGCTCACTGGGGCTTACATTTCCTGCAAAGAAAACTCAAAAAATTAATAAATAGGGCTGAGGATTTAGCTCAGTGATACAAGAGCCCCAGGACCAAATAAATAAATAAATAAAATACATTAAATTACTTCCTTTTTAATTTTTCTCCAGCCAGCACACACAGTCCACGGGAGGCAGATTCCACCGGGATAGAGCCGGGCTGGTAGGCGGGGAGTCTGTGCTCTTTTAAGTGGGGGGACCGGGCATGGCTCCATCTGTCTTCCAGCGTTTCCTCCATGCTGTCTTCCTCCAATTGCATTTTAGCCATCCCTCCTGCAGTGTAGGAACACACAAAGATAAACAAACTGTATCTTGATAATTTTTTTTGCTGAGGGATAGGCCATTCACGTATCCATTTATTGATTAATTCAACAAACTTGGAATTGTATATCTATATTAGGTATTATACAGGTATTTCTTTTACTTGTCACTTCCAAAGTCTCTAAAAAGAAATAAAAAGTAAACGAATAGTAAGGGAAGACATGAAACTGTTGCCAGATATTTAATCCCAGCACTAGGGAGGCTGAGACAGGAGGACCCTTGAGAGTTCAAGATCAGCCTGAACTGCATAGTGAGACCCTGTCTCAAAAAAAAGAAATGAAATTAAATTGTCATGGCTTGCACATTACATGAATGTATACACGGGAAATTTGAGAATATTCTCAGATAAATTTAAAATTAAAATGTGAGTTTATCACGGTCACTTAGTGTAAGAGGAATATGCAAAAATCAAGTGTGTTTCTCTATTCTAGCAGAAAATAAAGTTTAAAAATCATACCCTTAAGGTTTGGAAGCATAGCTCAGAGATGGGACATTGATCTTACATACCTGAGGCCCTGGGTGTGTTTCTCAGCACTGCAAACAGAACAGAATAATCAGGAGACCGGCACGTGTGCCATTTATAACAGCACTTGGAAACCACGTTTAGAAACACACCTGAAAAAGGTGCTGTGTGTCTTCACAGAAAATTATGAGACGTTCTCAAGAGAAAGTAAGGAGGAGGCAAACGCGCCTCACAGTCACACGCCGTGTGCCGCTCTCAGGGTGAGTCTGGTCTGTCTCCTTCCAGGCTTTGATTCTTGCTGCAGTCACTGCTATGGGACACCCATCTGGGTCTACCTTCCCCGGGGAAGGCACCTGCATTCTGACTGTCCCTTCTAACACCTGTCTTCAAGTACTGGAAAACCAGAAAGGGGCGCTGATAGCCACGTGAGTTAATGTCAGGCTTTCCTTTAGGGAACTCAGGACTGGACACAACAGTCTCCCTCCCTCCCTCCCTCACCGGTGTAGGAAAAGCTCCTGCTGGTTGAAGGGAGTGAGGGAAAGAGCAGGGTGAGATGTGACAAGCTGTTTTCTGGCCTCAGAATCACAAGCACTGTAAGCAGCGGTCTCCTGGGCAGTAGAGAAGAGATTGCACTCATTTCTGAAGTTTCGAGACACTCAATCCACAATCAGTCAGGATGTAAAGCATCTGACATTGTACCTGGCACATAATAAACCCTCAATAAATATCAAATTGCCTTTTCTCACTGGGGTGCAGCACAGTGTGAGGATCCTCTGGGGAGAGCCAAAGAAATAAAAGGCCCCATCCCAGGCTTTAAAGAGCTTAGTGACTTAACAATATTCAGCTATGAATCTCACCCTCCAAATGGAGAGAAAAGCACAGAAATCCCCTCCCACAGAGCCAGGGCCCCTCTGGAAGTGAAAATCTGAGGCGTCAGGCTCAGCCTGCTAAGCCCCTCGCCCCCCACCCCCACTTTAATCTAATTATTTTTTCATGTGTGCTCCAGTGAGCCTGTTATTTTTATGGGTCGCTGTCTATTAATTTCTCTCCCCCCATCCTTCTGTCTTTCAGCACGATCAGGACAGTGCAGACAGCGGCCTGGAGTCAGGCTCCCGTGGACAGAGATTACACAGATATATATAGAGATGAGAGGAAGCAAGTGAGCAATGTGGTTACCTCTGAGGCTGCCGAGAAGCTGTTAAGTGGTGGAGATTTAAAGCTCCATTCGCCTCTGTACTAACTTCAAGCTGTTCTAAGCCCAGTCTCCCAGACGACAAAACTCAGACCAGCTGCGAGAGAGAGGCTATGACTCCCGATGGAGCCTCAGGTCTGATTTAGAGGGTGCTTAGAAGAGGCAAGTGGGGAGGACGAAGCCGAACAGTTTTATTTCTAGGGAAACTTTCTCTAGGACAAAGGACAGAAGAAAAACACTCATCAGTCATGTGGGGTAGATGCAAAAAGTGAGAACTGGAGCCTAAAGCAGGGCAGTGAGGCTGGGCTTCAGCTAGGAAGGAAGTGCTCACCTGGGAAGGTGATGGGATAGCAGGCCCTGAGGGTACTGCGCTCCGTCAGCAGGCTTTGGAGCCTCGCCTGTCTAGACGCAGGAGCCTGGGACCACGTGGCCTCAAAAGTCCATTTACCATTGTTTGTTGGTCTACCAAATGCACAGTCAGGGAGTCCTGGGGCAGCGCAAATCAGGTTTCCAACTGCAATTGAGCTGCTGAGGTGGGTGGTGGAGACACCACTACCCAGCTCCCCGACAGAAGCGGAAACAACACTGAGGATCCAGCAATAGAAGAAGCCTGCATCTGGGAAAGCAGCGGCAGAGAGACTGCTTCCTAAAGTGGTAATTGAAAGGGACTATGGAAGCGGAGGAACAAGGAAGAAGAAAATTCCGTTTGCTGTAAAACTGGCAGGCTTTCAGAAGTCAAGCTGAGTCATAAGCTTTTTGAAAGGCCCATGCGTTGAAGACTTGGTCCAGGGACTTGCAATACTGGGAGGTGGTGGAGCCTTTAAAGGGCGGGGCGTGCTGGGAAGTCTTTGGGTACTGGGGGCATATCCCTTCCATGTTAGCTCCTTTGCTTCCCAGCCAGGACGTGAGTACTTTGTCCTACCACATATTCCTGGCTCTGAGGTGCTGCCTCCCCACAGCTCGCAGCCACAGGGCCAACCGTCATGGGCTGGACCCTCAAAACTGTGAGCCAAACTTCTCTGTTTGTAAATTCTCGGCTATTCCATTGTATGACTACTGATGGAAAGGTAGCTAATACTCAAGTATAGTTGGAGTTGGTTATTCTTGGGTCTCGAAGAATGAGTCCAAATGACATGGCTTGACAATTTGAGGTATAAGAGCTGGCTGCCAGTGGAGGGGTACCACATTCAATTCCAAGACAGTGGCAGCAGGTTTGTTGTTGTTTCTCCTTTCTTTCTGTCAGTGCTGTGTATAGAACTCACGGCTTCACATGTACTACATAAGCACTCGACCACGGAGCTACATCCCCAGGCCAAGAAGCTTTGTAATGAAGGGTTCTCTGGGATAGCTCTGGAGCTGGTTAGCATCAGGCTTAAAGATCTACAAATAGAGTGTTATTTTATTTTCCTTCCAAAGGTGTGGGATTGGGTAAAAGAGAAATATTACAACTTGCTTGAAAAAACTTGTCTGCTCCATGGGTGAAGAGAGAGCTTCCTTCCTGGGAGGTGTTACTAAGGGAAGCAGCTGGGCATGTGGCCAGTGGCCCAAGCGGGCGTGGACATGCTTCCTGTCTGCAGCTGTACAAGGGGCCTGTGTACATCGTGTGACTTCCTTAGAAGGGACCGGCCTCAGCAGCAGAGTTGGAGCAAGGAAGGTAGAAGCTTGTGTTAGGGCTTTCTCTTTTCCAAAACGCTTTCTGGCAACCAACCTGCTCTTTGTCCTTCCCTGTGAGTGCTCTGCCTTCTCTCCCAAGGGGTGACTGATTGTCACTAAAGAAATAATTATTGAGCTCAGTATTTGCCTAGAAAGCATGGAATTTCTCATGTGACACATTAACTGCCAGAAGAATAAAGGCCAAATTTGTTGCTAAAATATCAGAAACAGAACATCTTTGATGCCTAAAATCATTCATTTCTTCTGATTCCTTCAGATGGATTTCATTTAAATGGATCACGAAGCACATCAGCTGTATCCCTTCTTTGGACACATCTTGAGCCATATTCAAAGTAAATCAGGCATAAGATTAAGCCAGTGACACATTAACTTTCACACTCTGGACAGTGCTAGGGAAGTGGATAGGGCCTCAAAAAGAGCACTGTCCCTTCCTCATCCTTTTGGGACACACAGACAAGATGCATCCAGAGCTGGGCACTGCATCTTTAGGTGCTAGAATCAAACGCAGAAACACTTTGCTTTGTTCTTTCTCCTTGTCCTCTCAGGCAGAACTTGTCCTTGGATCTAAGCGCCCTTTCCTGCTGCGAGGTGGGACTTCTCAGGGTCACTGCAAGCATGCTGCACTCGGAGCGGTAGGATCACAAGGAAAGTCACCAGATGCAAGGTGCCAGAGACAGGACAGAATGCAGAGAACTACAAGACCTCTTTCTGCAGGGTAAGGGGCAGGGCACACATGGTCTCTTTCAGAGATCTTTAAGGCAAAACTAGGAAATCGTGGAAAAACTTCAAGGTCTCTATGAAATATGTCAGCACAATTAAGGAGAGGGTAGGGCCCCCCCCCCCCGAGAAAGAAAGGCCTCTCTGGAAGCCATCAAACTGCCTGAGTGTGGAGGGCCAGCTGAGCACAGCCCACAGTTCTGAGACCTTTGTTTCCAGGAGAATAGAGATGCAGGAGAAGTCTATAGAGAGGAGCAATTTGGAAAGAGACTGGTTGAAGAGGAAGAAACATACACTTGAGAAAGAAGAAAGGTTTCCCAGTTAAGGGAGCAGCTGGGCATCCAATAGCTAGGCGACCCCTCCAATCAGAGCAGAGATATGAACTTGCCTCTTGGTGTGACTGGGGTGTATGCTCAGCTCTTGCTGAGAGTGAGCTTCTGTCTTTCTGACCAAGACAATGATTACATAGCCTCTGATTTTCAGCCCACAAATGGGCTACTTTAATAGCCTTTTTTATTAGCTTTTTATGAAAGGATGATTTGGTCCAGGTTTTTTAGTAGTTAGTCAAATTGCCAAGTTGCTCATAAAGAAAGGCAAGTTAGAGAAGGCTTCCCTCTCTCTGCAGGGGTCAGTGTGCCTAGTGGTGATTGGAAAGTGCCTCCACCAGAAGAGAGGCGGCAGATCCAGCAGAGGTAAGCAGGTTTCGCCCTAGCACTTACTTACTTACTTTTAACTCAACAGCCCTGAGGATGAAGAAATTACTTAGTTCTCAACTTGATAGCCAGAGGCCAGTGCTAGAAACCAGGAGTTATGATTTAATGGAGCATAATTATCATTCGTATTCTAGAAGTGTATTCTAGGTCATCCATCTGCAACCTTCCTGTTGCAACTGGTTCCTGTTTGGGAGAAGAGCAGAAAGTTTCTTTTTCCATTTGCAGGAATGAAGCAAGAGATTTCAGGAATTAAATATCTCAGAGGCCCCCAGGCGTAGGACAGAGTAGGGCTGGGATTTGTTTAGCCAGAATGATGCGCTGGTGTGGGTTCAGAGGTGGTCCCTAAGTGAAGCCTATACTGCAGAGCTAACTGACCTTAGAGGTGGTCTCATCTGAGTGCCTCATTTAATAGGTGGGGATCAGTGAGGAAAAGGCTCCCCAAGTGCAAAGGAGCAGTCCAGTCTGCACCCCAGTCTGCCAGCTTCTTCCACTGGAAGTCGAGCGCCCATTGGCTGGGTGGCAGCAGTGGAGGCACTGTTTGTCCACCGTGGTCTGCTACCATTTCACCTTGCCCTGTCTCTTCTTGTTAGCTTCTAGACTCATCCTTCTGCCTCCTTGGGGTCCTATGCAGCAAGGCTGGGGAAGGGGGCCATGTGTCCATATCAGTGCACAAAGCAAAGTCAAACCCAGGTGCTCCCAGCATAGCCGGGCCGCCTGTCCTCAATGATTGCTATCAGCGCTGGCCCTGAGCTTGAAAAGGTGGGTGCTCACCATGGCTGAACCCCTCCGCTTCACCTGTCGGCTCCTCCCTTAGCTCTCCCTCCAGTCATTCAGGTAGCCATGCTGTTTTGAAGGAAGCCGTGGAGACTGCTGCCTGTCGATCCTGGAAAACAGCTGCTCTGACGGGAACCAGCTCTCCCGGGGAAAGGGCACAGCTCCTGCCATGACCGGAACGAGGCACGCTGCACTTTGGCCATGTGGTAAGGGTCTGGCCCCCAGCCTGTGGTGCTACTGAGAGCTGGGTGCTGGAGGGAGGACGTGAGCTCACGGGGACGTGCCCTGGAGCCTGGCACCTTGCTCTTTCATAGCTTCTCAGCCGTCCTCTGCTGCACGATACACGGGGCTGTGAAGGCCCAGAGCCAAAAGGCAAAACAGCTATGGACTAAAACTCCTGAAACTGTTGGTGAAAATAAATCTCCTCGCCTTCTGCATCAGTTGTCTCAGGTGTTTCCTCATAGTCCTGGGAAAGCTGACAAACGCAAGGCCATTGTCTACAACCTTTTCCTTTCCTAGAAGGAAAGTAGAGGCAGAAGGTCCCGAGTGTGGGATGTCGGGAGAGGAGGCAGATCCCTGACATGTTCTTGTTGTTTTTATTTTTTATTACAATTTTAAAAATCAGTGATCATTTCACCAGAGAGGGCAGAATTCCAAATTAATGGCATCTCCAATTGATAGAATTCTTTATGTATTATTAATTTACTGGATGTTTTAGAGTTATCTTTCCAAAAAGTTCAAGACACATTATTCATAGACTTTAAGTCCTGTCATGAAAGGTAAAACAGTAAGAAAGTTATGTGCAAAGAACAGGTGATTAAAAACATTAATTCATGCTTGTGCTTAAGTAGGGCTTTTGGAGGGCCTAGGAAACCTCAGCAGACAGAAGAATGCCGGACACATTTCCTCTTCCTGAGCAGACTGAGAGAGGAGGGTCCGACAGGCTCGGAAGACCTTCACAAGGGAAATAAGCTGAAGACAGACCACGAAGGGTTGAAAAACTTTGCATCAATATGAAGAGAACAGGATTGTAGGCAGAGGAAATGTGGGGCTCCAATCAGCTTTATTAGGGTTTATTTCATTTTTGGTGAAGGAGGAGTATTCACCTTGGGAAGGTAACAGGGTACCATGTGATGAGGGCAGGGAGAGCACTGAACGCCGTGAGGAGGAAGGACGAAAGGAAGTGGGAGGAAGACTAAGCCATGTTTAACTTAAGCCTTCCAGCAACCCAAGTTCAAAAAGGAAAAGAAAGTGCCTTTTTAGTACGGCCCAACCAGGACAACCGCAGAGGCTGAAACTCAGGCACAAACATGACCTTGGACCAGAGTGCGTGTATGCGTGTGTGTGCATGTGTGTGAGCGTGTGTGCATGCGTGTGTGCATGTGTGTGCACTTTCAGTATCTGCAGGCAGCCCAGGCAGTGGAGAGCAGGGCACCATAGCGTGGTTGCCATCCCTCTGCACGTGTTTGAAATCGGGGCTGACAAGACAAGCTGGATAATTCTTCTTAGTTGTGTCTTGAGTTCCCCTCTCTATGGTACAGGATCCCCTTGAAGCGTGACAGCTGCGATGACTTCCAGATGTTTGCCTCCTGTCTTCCAGCAGGCTGGGTGGATGTGGTAAACTCGGCGATGGAAACCAAAAACCCAGCCAGATGGACCGTGTCAGCATCAGCCGCACACACATCTGGCTTCAATACTGGCAGTGATAACCAGAACAAATGGCTGCTGTTCCCACTGCCCTTGGCTTGTCCGTGTCCAGGGGACACAGTCCGGACAGCACAGGCACAAGGGAGGTGTGGGGATCAGGTCACTCGGATGGAGGACATCAGAGAGGACAAGCCCATTGGTTGGAATTTCAACTCAGTTTTGCATTGCTTGGGCATCAGGCTGGGCTGGAACTTGAGGTCCTCTTGCCTCAGCCTCCCCAAGTGCTAGGATTACAGGCATGTGCTGCCATGCCTGGCCTCTCCTCTGCTGTCTACCACTGAGCTACACCTACCCCATCCTTCCTCTTCTCCTGAATCCATACATAGGGGTCACCAACAGTGATGGTGCAGAAATAGTCCTTAGGTATTTTTATTCCTATGATGGAATTTTCTAAATAAAACAAGCAGGAAGAACACCCTGAAACAGGATGGACCATGCAGAGGGGATGGGAAGGAAGATAGCCACACCCAGGTCCGCCGGGCTGCAGAGACCCAGACAGCACTGCGCCATCAGCCCTGCTTCCCCCTGCCTGCCAGGGGCCTCCTCACAGCACACACTGTGCATTTGAAGTGGCCGCTAGTTCAGCACCAAAGCACTTGGATTTGGGTCCTGATTCTGACGCCATTGAGCCTGGTGGTGTGAGGCATATTTTGGTTTCCTCCATTATAAACTGGAGCTTTTTTAAAAAAGAAACTGCATATAGTTCTCTGACACTGAACATCCACAAAGAGGAGAGAATTAAAGATGGAACTAGAACCCAGTTTTGTCACGAGCTGTGTCGCCACATGCTACTCATTTCCCTGAACTTCATTTTTATCACCTGAGTCTGCCCAGGGTAACAGGAAGTGAATAGGCTTTGACAGGTATGATGTGCTACATATGCCTGTTTTGTTTGATTTACTTTACATGAAAGAGAAAGCCAAGGCTCAGAGGAGCTGCCTAGCCCCGAGGCCATAATGGACAAACGTTAGCAAGGCTCCTCGGCCCCCTCAGCCTGGCTCTGCGCGTCTCCCTCCTTCTCTCTGCCTTCAGTTTCGAGGTCAGGGTGTGGTTCCAGCCGGTAGCCTCAGCCCCGCAGTGCTCACTTGGGGCCCCTCAAGAGGCAGCTGAAGAGACTGCTCTGATTCGGCTTCCTCCCTCCTCCCTTCTCTCTGGCTTCTTCCTTTCCGCTCCTCATTTGAGAAGATTCTCCTTTTGTTTGCACTCCTCTGTGGAAGCTCAGCTCGCTTTTCCCGTCACTTTCCCTAGTAAACTTACCATCAGGGTCCTTTAAAACCTCCTCGGGCCAGGCCTCTCCCTTCCCTCTGGGTTTTCTAGCTTTGTCTTCCAGTCCTGGGGGTGGAAGCTAATTCTAGGCCCACACTCTGCCTGTGAGCTACACCCTTCACCCCTTTTATCTATTCTCTTTCTTAACTTAGCACAATTGTTTTCCTGTCATCGTTTTTTTAAAAATTAATTTTGATCAAAGAGATGTTTAAGAGATTTAGAAGTCAAACATTCCTGCGAGGCCTGCAACAACTGTAATGAAAATAGTAATCCCTTGGTTACACCTTGACCAAAAGTGATCACTACCAGCTGTATGGTTTTTCCCCCCATATTTATGTCCTTCTTTATAAAGAATATGCTTGTCCTGTTTTTCTTGGCTTGCAGATTTTAGATTTGGCCTTTTAGTTTCCTATCATAGCAAGTAAGACTGCATAACAGCTGAGAATGTGGACTCCGGAGGAAGTGACCCGGCCTTAAACCTTAGGCCCAGTGCTGGCTGCTGCGAGACCTCCCCCAACATGCTTCCCTGCCGTGTGTCTCGGTTTCCTTGTCCGTTAGTGGATGCCGGCAGTATTTACCTCATAAAGTAATGACGAGCACTGCAAGTTGAATATATCATGCACATAGGATGAAGCCCGGCACACAGTAAGCACTGTATAAATTTGTCTATTACCAAGGTCAAATTGATCTGCATACATTTTTCCTCCATGTGTCTTACTGAAATAGTTCTGTCACCATTTTTGGTTAAACCAATATTAAATATTTACATCCTGACTATATAAATATTATTCCCAGGTAAACCACATAGACACGTATAATTATGTTTCCTTTCCCATCCAGTCTTTTGTTTTCCCTGGAATTAAGACCTGTTTTTGCATTTTGTTTAGTTTTCTAGGTACCTGTTACTAAATCCACCCATTAAGTCTCCTGTCCATGCATTCAAACACAGGCGTGCTCTTGGTACTGTTGTTCCCCTTGGCAGCCTTTCCTGGATCTTCTGAGGTCTCCTGTTCTCAGCTAACGGGTTCTCTGTAACCCGAGGAATAGGGCACTCTGGGGATCCCTTCGGCGTCATCTTGTGTTGGAGTCTTTGGTGCCTAAATTACACCTGTGATGGAAACTACCGGTTATTCTCCCAAATCTACTCTTCATCTTCCATTGTAATGGAACAGTAGCTAATATCTGGCCCTCTAACCAAAGACTGTATTTCCCAATTCACTCTCAGAGTTAAGGGTTACTACATGAGTCGGTTTTGCCAAGTGAATGCAAGAGGAAGCATTGCACGCCATTTCCTGGCCGGCTCCACAAAAACCTCGACACTTTTTCCAACTGGCGAGTTGGAACACGAAAACCTCTCCAAACAAACTGTGATCCTACGTAAAAGGACAATGTCTGAAAATAATCATTTTCAAACTTCCCCAAGTCTGAGAGTCACACAAAGTCTTATTAAAGGACGGATTTCTGGGCTGACTCCCTCAAGTCTCTGATTCATTAGATTCGGTGATGGGACACGAAGGTTTGTGTTCCCAACAAGCTCTTAAGTGATGTTGATGTTACTGGCCTGGGAACTGCATTGTAAGAGATTCTAACTTAAGAGTGGCATAAGAACAAGATAAAGGTCATCTCGTGTTCCTGCAGTGACTAAGTGGAGCACAGTTGCCTTGCTTCCTGGAATACAGAACTTATTCCAAGCGACAGGAAAAGCACAAGTTTACAACTTCATTAACCACTTGGTTATTTGGGGTTTTCAAATCACAGCAGTCAAAATAGTTAATGACATTAAAACCAAGAAGCACGAGAGAACAGTTTTGTCCTCTATTCCCTAAGATAAGGAGGACAAAGTCGGGGTGGGGGATGACAGTCATGGCGCAGTCAGCCAGCACTGCAGGGCTGGGCAGAGCCCTGGGCCCTTGCTGCTACCCATCAAAAGCATGATTTGCATTTTCCCCTAGGACAATCATGGATTTAAAAGCCATTTTGCTATGAACGGTGGCCCTTGGGCCTATGGATGACCAATAAGTGGTGAAAACCAGAATGAAGCTTAACTTTCATTTTGTATTCTTCGTTACTATAAATCTTGGGTCAGATCTCTTTCCAGCACTGTGTAGGGGTGCATGGATCTCTTAGGGAGCGTCTGTCTAGAAGCTGGTGAGACAGAGTTGGTTAACCCTGAGTGTTCATGATCTCATCCTCCTGGGGGGATGTCCAGCTACACCCAGAAGGTTTGGGACCCATCGTCCTAAACCTGTGATCACCCGGATTCCAGCACCACATGATTGGGCTTACCACAGAGACAATCTGGGAACAAAACTACCTCAGCCACAAAGATTCCAGAACTATGACACCAGGGCTGAGGTCATGATCAACTGGATTCCAGCCCACCAGCTAATCCTTAAAATCTGGCCTTCCACTTTGTGGGGTGGATCAGTCTGACCCTGTTTGAAAGTAGGTCCTCTCTAGCTAGCTAAACTGAAATGCTTTCCTATCTTCCCTCTAATGTTCCAATTACAGTGACCAGAATCATTAACTCAGTTCATGGACTTAATTTTTTTCCATGATTCTGGCCACAAACTGAATTGGATAAGAACAAAGTCAAATTCAATGGTTTGGTTTAATGTTGACTTTATGGGGAAATTTGATTTCATTCTTATCCAATTCAGTTTGCAATCAGAATCTTGAAAAGAGTTAAGTTTGTGAATTGAGGTGTCACTGTAAAACTTTTTCTGTAAAATAAATTATTTTTCTTTTCTTATGCCCTTATTTTAGCAAAGCACATCTATGGACAACTTTCTGGGAAAAGAAGATAGTTCCTTGAGACTTTGTTCATTGTATTGGTATCTTTGGCTGATAGTTTGGCTGGGTATAGAATTCTGGGTTACGTTCTAATTTCTTTTGGGATTTCTACCTTATCTTCATTTAACATCATGATTTTTTTATCTTTTATAAGTGACCAATATTTTAATTTTTAAACCTCTTCTTAGAAACTTTTTTTTTTTTTTTTTTATCGGTACCGGGGATCGAACTCACGACTGCCTGCTTGCAAGGCAGGTGCTTATGCCGCTGAGCTAAATCCCCAACCCTTCTTAGAAACTTTTGTGATCTTTTTATTTCTAGTAATATAAAATTACAGAATGATGTATCTGGGCTGTGTCTTTTTTCATTCATTTCATTGTTTTTCACTCTACTTCAGTTCAGATTCAGTATTATTCAGTAATATACAGTGGTTTCTTTCCATGTGTTTCATTGGTCCTCTCTTTCTGGCATCTTCCTCAATTTTCTTATTTTTTACATCTATAACAATATTCTCTTTCTATATCTTTTCTCTACTGTAACTATCATTTTTTTTTTACTTTTCTGAGAGATTTCTTCAGTCACTTTTCAAAGGAAAAGTTGATTCTTCCCTTCATATATTTAGCAACTTGAGTATTTTTTTGTCTTCTAATTTCTTAATGTTCTGTTCTTGTTTTATGAATGTAATTCTTTTAAAAGATTTTTTCCTGTCATCTGTACTTTTTTTCTGACTCTTTTTTGGGTAGTTTAGTTCCTTTTGACATGTTTCATGCTAGAAACTTTCCCCAAAAATCTAGGATTTTTTCTGCAAGGAGTGGGGCATATTTTGTGAGCTGATAGCATTCTCTATCGCTTATGTGTGAGGTTTCACTGAGGGACAGTCTAGTCTTTTTCTCTGGGACACATCAGTTACTCATAAAAGGATCCTACAGCCTCCTGCCTGGAAGCAGGGACAGGTGTGGTAGGAGGGTACAGGAGCCAACACTGGGCAATCAGGTTGAGGAAGGGGCCTGAGTCTCTCCTGTGACTGGGTATGCCACCTATGTATGTAAATACATGCCTGTCACTAGGCGGTTCATCCTACCCTTGGCAGGATGCACTCCTGACCCAGGGGCTGTTGGTGAAGTCTCTCCAGAGGCCATATTGTCTCTTATTTGGGACCATGGAGGGGATCTGAGGGTCCAGCTGCTGCTTTCAAAGTCAGTCGTGGAGTTTAAGTCAGGGCATAGATTTAGTTTCCACTGACCCACTAAGTCAGTTGTTATTCATCTGGTCTGCTTTTCAGCTCTCAAAATTTTATTCATGTCTTTTTGCTGTTGCTGTCTCCTATTCTGGTCCCCTTAACATCATGGGTTTATGCTTCTTTAGTTGCTTGTTGTCATTTTAGTAGGTTTCAGCAAGGAAAAAGAAATAAGAAACATCTGCCCATCTTTTCATTGAATCGTCCAACTCTTATAAGTAAAAATGAAAACATGGGAATATCTAAGATGCTCAAATTACATCAGTTGTCTTCATGTGGTGGCACTGTATTTTTTCTTGTCCCATGTGGATTCTTTTTAGGACATTTTAATTGTATTTGTTTTGATTCTAATTCTAGGAATTCATCTAAAGGCAACAACTAATGATGTGTGCATGGGCTTTCTACAAGGCAGTTTCTCCCTGGGTATTTTTACTGCCAACGACTGAAAACAACCTCATTGTCTAACAGCAGGAGACCGGCTCAATACATGAAGGCACCTTCATGGAACAGCATACTCTACAGTGTTCAAGCTGATGTTTTAGGAAATTAGTGAAATCCAAAACTGTTCAGAATACGTTTTATGTTTTAAAATGACCATCAAAAAATGTACATAAAGTATACTCTTTTTCAAAAATGTGTGTGAATCTTGTATACATAAATAATTTTGTGATAATTTATTCACATATTTTAATATTTATCTATTAACAATACCAAGCTCTTACTCCTTGCTTAGTGATGTTAAGATCCCCTTCCCTGGATTACCTCACTTTGGTATGATATCAGTGCTATTATTACTTCCACTGTTTACAGATGGAGACACTAAAGTCCAGAGAAATCACACCAAGGACACCTAGAGCCCTGGTCCACCCACCTGGCTTCCTGCCTTGAAGTCCACCTGCCTAGCCATAATTATTATATAACAAAATACTAGAAGGCTGGTGGTATTTCAAATGACCTTTATCTTCTTTGTGTGCTTGGGGATTGAAGAAATAGGATGGGACGGGTTTGGCCTTTGTTGCAATGTTTTCTTTGGAAGGCTCCCGCTCTCTCCACTGTTAAATCTTGCTGTGGACGTCTGGGAGTTAAACGATTTGTCTCAACATATGCTTAGGGACAGTGCTGGTTTTGTGCTTATCGTAGATCATTAGATGATAAGTCATTTGAGGGTATGAGTATTCTCCTGTTTCATTAGAAACCAAATCTTACAGCCAGAAATCAGAGAAGCAAAAAGACAAAGAAGCCCAACTTCTTCTGAGCTGAACTCTTTATCTAAAGTTCCGGTGTTTGGTCTGCGGTGGTAGCACCGGCCTCCTCTTCCTCAGCCGTCCTTGTGTCTTCTCATCCTGTCTAGTGCAGAGTGGTTTATGAGCTCCATCAAGGCCTCTGGCCTGTTGTCTCTTGTTGCACACAGTAATCGGAGACACCAGCACTGTTGTGTTGTTGTCGCTTCCCCTCTCTAAGATTTGCACTTGGAGCCTGCAGAGCTGGCCCCGCCTTTCGTGCCCCAGGCAAGGCCAGGTGCTCCCAGGAGTAACTAAACCCCCGGTACCTGCCACTGCTGAGCAGTCGCTGCAGATCTCGGATAAATTCCACCAAAAGCTCTGCCTGATTTATGGAGCCCACCTCATCCCCAGCCCTGTTCGCACCTTGGGCTGTTTGACGAGCTCATTAAGATGCAGCAGGTGTTCGATACTCTTTTGCTATAAAACTAAGTGGCCTTAAAGTGTTCAGAGAGAAGGCATCCCTATGTCAGAGTATTTATGAAAGAGTAAAGATATTCTGGCTTGGCTTCAGTCCCATTTCTCCAAGCGTCACACATTAAAAACTGTTTTTTATTTCTTTCCTTTTCCTTAAAAAAAGAGTTTCCTCTGTAATGGTTGCCTCTGATTAATATCCTTGTGTTCTCTGAGACCTAGAAAGTGGTTTAGTTTTCCTAGAACACCTTAACAATAGCATGATTTACAGAGCAATTCCTTGGAGCCAGGGGGCAATGTAATATAACAAAGTATTTTTCACAGGCATTCTCTCTAGTTGCTATTAATGCTAAACCACTGATAGGAAAAGCTAGGTGCAGGCAACACAGGAACTGAGGTAAATTCCCCAAGAGCACAAAAGGCCCAGGTTTCTAAAGGTCACTGGGAAAAAGCAGACGAATGGTAGGCACCCAATTAACCTTAGATAAACCTAAGGCAAGTGAAAAGCAGGCAGGAGTGGATGGGGGCTCCCCGCCCGATCCCAACCTGAGATACAGTGCTGGTGCCTGGCACCGTGATTTGCTCAGTGCTGGACTCCTGGTGCCTTCTCAAATCACTGGCTGCCTATCATCTATGCTAAGCAGCAGGCCAGACTTAGAGCCCTGTGATTGGCTGCCCTGAGCAGGTAACACTGTGCACAGCAAGTGACCCTTTTGCTGTTCCACAGAGGAGCTACCCTTCCCATCTCAGAACGGGTTTACGGATCATGGATTGGGAAGAGGGTTCTGCTTGTTAGGAACCATTTCCTCTGGGAGCGTCCACCTGGCGGACTGCACAGAACCAGCCCAGGCTGTAGTCAGGAGCTACTGGTAGCTCATCGCAAGATAGGCTTGATCGCTGGCTCCTGCTAAATGGCGCAGACGGCCTCCGAACCTGGAACGAGGAGCCACCTTCTCTCCTCCCCTGGGATAAGCAGCTGTCTACAGAGTTTTGCTCCAGATTTGACCCATGATTCATCTGACCAAGTTTTTCCTTGCTCACTCCCCAAATTCCCAGACTATAAAGAGGAAGATTTGCAGAGGGCTTCTAAGTCAGTTAGTTGGTGAATAACTCTTGATTAAACAACCACCATGTGTCTAGCATCAGGCTTGCTGCTGTGGTCCCTTACGGATAAAAAGAAGACATATGGTTCCTTCTCCTAAGGACTCTGAAGGGTAGTTGGGTAAGCCGTAGAAGCACATGTCGGATGATAAAGTGCTGAACTGTGTTGCGTTGAGTCTCGAACAATCGGGTTGTGTTTAGAGTGCTGGAGTTGAGTGCGGAGTGTTTATGAGTGGAGTGAAATGCTGGGTTCCCTGGAGATCATAATACAGGCATCATAAATGCACAAAGTTTCCTTCACTGTGGTAAAGTTAGGACGAACACCTGAAGGAAGGCTCGTAGGCTGGATGTCTTTCCTTCTGGCATTTAGCAGGAACTTTCAGAGCATGTAGCTGTCCTCCAAGACAGCCCAGAGATCCCTGTCTCCTCTCTCCTATCATACTGGACTGTGTTACCAGAGGAATATGATGGTATGCATTTCTGAAATTAAATCGGACTCTGGCTTCCATCTGTGTCTCTGCCTTTCTGTCTCCTGTTGAAAAGCCAGCAGGCAAATGGAGAAGAACTGAGATTCCTACCAGTACCCATGAGAGTCAATTGATGAGTGGACCCAAGTGTTCAGATTCTGTAGCCCTGGCCAACAGCATAACTATAGCTTCGTGAGAGATCTTGACCCGGAACTACCCACTTAGGCCGCACTTGGGTTCTTGACCCCCAAGAACTAAGTGGAATAATATGCATTTGTTGTCTTAGGTTGCTATCAGGGAGCACTGTTCCGTTTCAGGCCACCCCAACTTCAGCTCAGGCTGCACTCTGTCCTCTTTAGGCTCAGTAAAGTGGGGCATCTTATTGCAGTGCATTCCTACCTGGGATCAGATTCACACCTGCTCTTTCAAAGCCAGGTTGCAAAACTCTCCCAGTGACAGAATCAGCTTGTGCTACCAGTGAGGATGGGCAGGCTTGAGTCTTCAGCCTGCTGGCTGGGCATGTCATCCATGTGGTTTGTGAAAAACACTAGCTTGGAAACAATCTGCAGCGGAATGGTGTTCCCACCCTTGCTGCAGCAGAGGACGGGGCGCATGCAGCGGCATCTGCAGCGGGGAGAATGGTCTCGGGCAGGAGTTGTGAAGCTGCCACAGACGTTCTGGTGAAATCCCGCCACGAGCAAAGCCCTTCCCAAACACACATCTTGTTATGGCCTGGGCTGAGTCAATGGTGCTCTCAAAGTGCCTGGACTCTGTCAGGGCTGGTGTCCTTTGAGAGGGCGCTAGGTGGGAAAACCCAGCGGAGCACGAGGAGTGAGAAGAACAAGAGTTCTCCTTCATCTCCACGCCGCAGTTATCTCTTCTGCTGTCGTTCTCTGCTCTAGTGAGAGGCCATCCTCATGCGGTTTTCTAAAGCCAAGGGAGGGAGCTGTTTCGGAGAACCCCTCTCCTCGAATCCAGTCCTCGTGTCTGGGGGGCCTCCTATCTCCCCAGTTCCCCTCTGCTATTCCCCCTGCAGTTGCTTTAGTCTTGGCCTTGGTCATATCTTGTCCACAGTATCACAGCTGCCTTTTATTTGATGATCCTAATTCTCTTTCCAAGGCAAAGACTTGGTAATGAAATATTTCTGCTAAAAAAACATCGTCCAGAGGTAAAATGCAAGCTCTTGAACATACTGAGTGAACTTCTGGTTCTAATCCTAAAAAATCAAAATAGGCTTTACCCATTCACTGTGTAAAGATCTTGACTTCCAGTCGGGTTCTATTGCATAGTAAGTTATCTCAGCCCGAGTTCTCTCTTTTGTGAAATGAGATACTGTTTATCCTACAAAGCCTGGCCCAGAGTAGGCACGGTACAGATAGTTGGGCAATCAGTTTACCTGCTGTGTGTAACATGAATAGCCCTTGCATGTGGTAGAGGTGTAAGAGAGAGTTACATGTTTGATTACAGCTGTGTTACTGTGGTGCTGGAGATGGAACCCAGGTCTCATGCATGCTCGGCAAATATTCTACCACTGAGCCACAACCCAGCCCTACTGTGTTTCTGAATTGCATTTTATTGTTGTTGTTCTTTGTTGTTGTGCAGTGTGATGGCTCAAACCCCACCACTGAGGACTATCCATAACCACTTTTATTTTTTTATTTGGAGATAGAGTCTTGCTAAGTTGATCAGACTGGCCTCAGTCTTACAGCTATTATTGAACAATGTCTTAGATATTCCAATCTCCATCTTTTCATGGATGTTTAAATATTGCAGTCATTCTTATTTGTCCTTGAGTGATTCTTTTCATGTTATAATATTTCTTGTCTGCTCCTAGTGAGATATTTCATTTGCTACATCTTACATATTTCTTTCTTATAGGTTTACCAAAATCTCTTTGACAAGTGAGCCTGTCTGCCTGGCTATTATCAGACCTCTCCACCCTCTTACTTTCTCATAACTCATACACTTTAACCCTTTATGATTTGATGGAACTATTCTGGGCCAATCCCGATAGTAATTTATTAGATATTCTTCCACTGAATTAAAGCTCTAAATAAAAGGATTTTACATTCTTTCTCAGTCACTAGCCAAGCATAGCAATATCTCTCACAGCCCCATCTGAGACGATTAAATTTTATGTCTACAAAATAGTAGGAAACAGGAAAAAAAGAAATAACATGTGTGCAAAGAATTCCATCTCTTTCTGTAGCTCCTTCTGTACTCAGGTCAATCAAATTTTCTGATTAAAAACAACAAAAATGAACTGTAGCTCACTTAAGCCAAAGGAAATGGATTAGAAAGATTTTGACTGGGTACGATAGTGGAATGAATGTTT